ATGATGTGATAGTTTGCATAGGAATCGACAATATGAAACTTGGTGGATGAGCGAATATCTCTAACGGCTAAATCAACTGTTACTTATCCTATAGTAACCCTTCTTTCTCTACCGAAGCCAGTGATGATTATCGATTGCTTCACAATGCGCTCTTCAGAGATTCTGGCCTTCTCTAGAGTAGTGTGGGTCATAATGTTGATAGAGGCTCCACTGTCTAGAAAGGCCCTTTTGAACTCAACACTGTTAATATAAGCAGGAACATAAAGCGGGCGGTTGTGAGAAAAAGGGATACTTCCAGTCAGTATCGAAAAAAGTAATGGCACTAGATTGCTCTTTTGCCTTCCTCAGGTGGATCCCTTAGTGGACATGCATTCCTCATGGTATGCTTCGGCTATATTAATGATAGCCTTAGTGATTTCTGTTCTTGCCTCCTTGGAAGTCCAAGTTGGTTGAAGAATTGTTTGAACTTTACACAGTCTTACAGGGTTTTGGCGTAATGATCCAGATCTTTCTCCACTCTTGGAGGCTCATAGTTAACCATCCCCTCGGTCTCTTCAAAATAGGATGCCATACAAACATGGTATCCTCTTCTCCCATAGTATTCTTCTCCTTCTTCTAGATCGAAGGGACCTTCGACATGAGCCATAAAGGCTCTACCGTCTGGATCAAGAGCACATCCATAATAAACTTGTTCACCATTGGACTCGAAGGTGTCGTCAAGATAACAATCGTCATCATCGAGATTAGCAATAGCCTTAATCATTGGGTCTTCATATGCTATCATAGCAATATTCTTGCCATTGTCTCAATGCTAAGGATATGGTTGTTCTCAGATGTCTTGAGTTCCTTGCTTTTGGAACCTCAATTCGTCAGACTCGACTTTATCTCTGAAAATTTTCCTGAGAGTCCAACACTTCTGTATCGGATGTTTCAATGTGCAATGATAAACGCAAAACACAAGGCTCTCGCGGTCCTTTGTTGATAGGACTTCCTCGATATAAGGCAATTTTAGCTCTCTATCGGCCACCCATTCCTTAACTGGAGCTTTTACCTCCTTGATTCCATATGGATAAAAAACATTGCCCTTTTCACCACTATATTGTTTCCTCTTCTGGCCTCTATGACCCCTCCTTGTGACTTCCGGGTATCGGGGCCAGAGGCAGCAGCAACGATAGGTTCACGAGACGATTTGAAGCTAGTTTTGTAACTGGCCTTAAATTCAGACTCTTATGCCTAAGGAGTGCTAATGTTTCGAGTTGCTTCTATTAGTACTGAGAAGGTGAGTAGCATGTGATTAACTAGAAACAATTTGCACCTATTTAGTGCCCCTTCTAGGTGGATTTGAACCAGATAACTCTCCTTTACAGCTTCATGGTAATCCACAGCCTTGTCTTGAAACATTTTGACATAGTCAAGGATGTCTTCACTTTCTTGTTGCTTTTCCTTACATAATGTAAGTGTGGTCACCTTTTCAGCCACTTGAAAGAACTTGGCGTGGAATTTGTTGGCCATGTCTTCCTAACTTCAGATAAAGTTTGGGACCAAGTTAACGTACCAACTATATGCTCGGTTAGTGAGGGACTTAGAGAATTCTCTCAGTCGAAGGATGTGGTTTGAACCATGAATACCCAGAATCTCAATTAACCGCAAAATATGTTCTCAAGCATTTCCTTGTTTGCCATCAAATTTGATGAACTTCAGCACCATGTATCCCCCGAGGTATGGATAACTCAGCATCTCAATAGGGTATGGTGCCTTGACATCTGGGTCAGGCAAAGAGGGTAAAGTCCTCTTGCCCTGTTCGAGATTGAACATGGCTTGCACATTAGCAAGAGTGAGAAATTGTTGAGGGAGAGAATTTGATGGTGGAACTCCCGAGACTTGGTTTATAGAACCAGAGACTAAGCTAGGAGCGACTTAGCCATTCTGGTGTTGAGAATTCACCATCGGTGAAGACACGTGACAATATTGGCCCTTGGCACCTATGGACAAACCATTTGACAATGGAACATTGAATTGGGTTCCATAAAGTCAATTGCACATCACGGCTATACTAGGTTGGGCTTGCAAATTCGTTGTTGGCACCAAAGGAGACCCGTTCGGTACGTGGGTAGCATGTATTGCTGGTGGAATGAGATTGGGTACGGACAGAGCTCTATTTTGTGCAAACATGCCCCCTGAATTTGTTTGGACACCAACACCTACCAGAGCGCCATTCATTATGCTGGAACCTACCCTAATCACCACTGGATCATGGCTTGACGCACTGTGGAGCCCGGGCATGGGCAAGTTGCTGTCGCCTACTGTGGTTTGAGCATGTGTTGCTACCATTGTTGTGTTTCCATGAGCCACGGGCTAGTCGTGGCCTACTTCTCCTTGCCACCTCTAGTTTGATTTCCATTTGGCGTCGATGCAAAACTAGAACTCAACACTAATATGGTGTGACTGAGATTCTAAAGAGTGGTAAGAATCTCTTGTTGGTGAAGTCCTTGAATGGCTTCAAGCAAAAGTGGTTGATCTTGAGCCAAGGTCCTATCATCACTACCATTAGAGGATCCTTGTTGGTGAACTTCATCTTCTCCTGCCATCCTTTCTGGAGTTATGTGGGTTCCAGATCTTGTAGAGACCATTAACCAATTTGCGTCCCTAGTGGAGTGGCCAAAATGTATGAGAGGGTTCAAGAATGTTGTTGGAATTTTGAATTCTCTAGAAATGATGAGAGGCATAGATTCTTTAACAGTCACAACTAGGAACACAATAACAAAGAGATGATGGAGATAAAAGATTGGGTAAAGAAGAAGGCAAAGTAGTTAGAGAGAGAATAATGGCAAGGCTCTCCCATAGATCTCCCACTTTCACTCTCAAGGTAGATAATGGAGAAAGGAAATTAGTTCTTTCCTAAGATTTGTCTCTCCAAAATCCATCCCTTTTAAAGTTATGGGTGGGTGCTATTTATAGGCACTTCATGATATGGGGTGGAGCCCATGTGCAAGGCACATGGGGAATATTCCCTCTAACTACCTTGTCTGAGGAGGTGACCTATCTGTGGATGAGGAAAACCTCGAAGAGGAGATCAACCTCTTGGTGAACCCTTCTTCTTAGCCACACCTAACCAATGATCCCCGATCATCCCAAAGGGCCATGGTAGTCCTAGAGGACCTCTACCGCTAATATTCTTGATTCTCATGGAGCCCCCCAGGTCATGCCACCTCGACCCAAGTATAGGCTAAATCAATCAATGAGTGAATTCATCTTCATCCCACCGTCTTCGGGATTCAGGCCCTTTGTTCGAGCTCTAACCTCATTCATGATTCTAGTAGGTTGATTCCGGAATGCTCCAAGCCCACAAATGTTCTGAGACTAACCAATGGAGCGGCTTCTAGATTGCAATCGAATTCGTTCGAAGCCCGAGTGCTTCGGATCTCTAGGTTTGCTCAATACCCTTTCGAGTTCGGGCCGAAGTAAGTCTCCAAGTTTGTGGATCCAGGCCTTTTCAAGGCTTGGAGTGATCTGGCCCACTTGATGGCAATAAATCTAAGTCCACTAATCTTGGACTTTCTGATTGGGCCTAATTAATTTTAATGGGCCCAACTTGACTCCTCTTACAAGTACAAATTGTTTTAATTGTAGAAAATTCTAAAACATAATTTCCTTTATTTCTTTGTATAAACAAAACTCTGATAACAAGAATCTACTGCATATAATTATAGATATATGAAGTAAGGAGCAGCTCCAATACCTGGCCATGGGTGTCACCGGATCCCCCGAATGATTTTTTTTTTATTATATAAGTATTAGATGACTCCTCTTACAAGTACAAATTGTTTTAATTGTAGAAAATTCTAAAACATAATTTCCTTTATTTCTTTGTATAAACAAAACTCTGATAACAAGAATCTACTGCATATAATTATAGATATATGAAGTAAGGAGTAGCTCCAATACCTGGCCATGGGTGTCACCGGATCCCCCGAATGATTTTTTTTTTTTTATTATATAAGTATTAGATTTTAGGAAAAAAATCAGCAATGAACCCACTAAAATACAACTTTGAACACATAGTTTTCAGTCCCAAAACTTTAAACCCATCAATTAAAAAAGCTTACTTTTTGACTTTTGCCTACTTTTTGTTTAAAATATTTTATTTGTAAAGTGATTGTTTATATTCTTGCTTTGAACACTTGACGATTCTTGACATCTCTTTCTTTTGTTTACTTTTTGTTTGAAATATTTTATTTGTAAAGTGATAGTTTGTGTCTTGCTTTGGACACTAGACTATTCTTGCCATCTCTTTTTAAGCTTCAGGCGAGAGATGACTTAGATAGAGACACTCCAAGCTCTCTCTCATTCATCACTCTCCATCTATAGCTCTCTCTTTTCATCATTAATCTTCTCCACTGACATAAACTACTCGGTTATTAGGTAAATCTTATATAATCATTTTTCTATTTTATAGTGTTTTGGATAGAACAAATATAAATCAACAATTTTTGGGGGTAAAAATTAGGGCTTTTTTTTTGTTCAATAATTGTCTTGTTTGTAAATGTATTACATATATTTTGTTTCTATATGTTTTGTTAAAACATCAATACTATTTAATTTCCCCCTTTATATATGGGGCTAAAAATTGGGGATTTTTTTTTTCTTTAGTTTTGTTTTTTTGGCTCACTAATTGTTTGTAATTTGTAAATGTATTATATGGATATGATGCTTCAATGCTTGTGTATGTTATGTTAGCGATGTTACATTGCATTGTAATTGATTTATGCATGGTTAATTTGGTGTGGTTTTATGTACAATGTTTTTCTTTATTATTTTCTTTTTTTTTCCAATTTGTTCTATCGCTATAGACAAATTTCTTAAAAGAAAATCAACAGTAGTAGAAGATTCATCTCCTACATAAGAAACTTCTTCTAAGAAAAGTCATGTAGATGTGAACAATCTTCCATCTGACCCAGGGCTACGATAAAAAATTTCATCTTATCATCCTAACAATCAGGATGAAATTAGAAGAGCATATTTACAAAAGGGTCTTTGTGATACAAGGTTTGAATCAAGAAACTAATCTTAAAAGGGCTGGTGATACACGTTGGGGATCACATTATGGAACAATTATAAACTTGATTTTGATGTTCCTATCTGTTATTGATGTCCTTGAGATTGTTCAAGAGGATGGTTTACACACCGAGCAAATAGTTGAAGCTCATTCTCTTATAGATTCAATGCAGTCTTTTGAATTTGTCTTCAATTTACACTTGATAAAAAATATATTGGGGATCAGACATGAGTTGTCATTTGCGCCACGAAGAAAATACCAAGATATTGTAAATGCAATGACATTAGTTAAAGTGTCTAAGCAACGATTGCAAATGATGAGAGATGATGAATGGGGATCCCTATTAGAAGAAGTGTATTTATTTTACAGCGAACATGATATTCCTATCCCCCACATTGATGACAGATTTGCAGCTCGTAGGAGGTCACGCCGCAAAGCTCCTAAAATCACAAATTTATACCATTACCATGTTGATATCTTCTACACTATTATGCAACTTCAAGAGCTTACAGAGGCAAGTACAGAGTTACTTCTATGCATGGCTTGCTTGAACCCCAATAATTCATTTTGTGCTTTTGATAAGCAAAGGTTAATCCATCTTGCTGAATTCTATCCATATGATTTTTCTACGGTAGATCTCATGGCACTTGATAATCAACTTCAACACTTCATTGTTGATGTGCACTCTAGCAATGGATTTTCTGAACTCAAAGGAATTGGTGACCTTATTAGAAAGTTGGTAGAGACAAAGAAAGACATTATATGTCCATTAATCTATTTTCTTGTGAAATTGGCATTGATTTTACCAGTTGCGACTGCAATAGTGGAAAAAGCATTTTCAACAATAAAATTCATGAAGAATCGATTACGTAACCGATTGGAAGATCAATGGTTGAATGATTATTTGGTTACATATATTGAGAAAGATGTATTTGATAGTGTTGATAATGAGCTTATTATGCACCGATTTCAAAATATGAAATCTCATCGTGATCAATTGTAGAAGCTCATGTATTAACATGCCTTTTTGTTTAAACAATAGTATGAATATATTGAAATATTTTTGTTTATAATTTCAGAATTTAAATTAATTTGTTGATTTTTTTCTCCATAGGTGATATAGTGATTAATGTGAATTTTCTATAAGATTTATGACATTTAAGTTTTTGATTGACACCATTGACAAAAATTCCTAGAGTTGCCACTATATAAAGTTGTATCTATCTCTTTGCTGACTCTAGATTTACATCAATAAATAACAAGACATGAAGGATACATGCCATGCATTATAGTATTCAAATTTGTAATTACTAAGCAAAGTACAATATACTTGAAACATGTTGTTCTAAATTGAACAAATCCGATTTTGTTTAAATGAAATTTTTGTTTCAAACCAAATTTTTAGACAAGCAAGAATCTCTATAAACATACAGAGTGTACAAAAATAAAATCAATTTTTTTTCTATTGTCAAAACCATAAACCAATTTTGTTTCCACGAATTTATCTTAAGAAATATATGATAACGTAATGAGAACCAAAACAATAGGAAATATAATATGACTTAAACATAAATTTGGTTAAAAGCATCATCGTTTATAGATTTTGTGAGACCCATAAAATCCTCTCGTATGGATTGTTAACGAGATCCAACAAAGAGATGAGTTTTTCCCTATAAGAAAATAAACATGGTCGGTGCCACCTAATCGGGGACACTCCGATGATAAACTTAGACTCTTGAATCAAAGAGAGAAGATGAAGAACTGAAGAGTATGTGTGTGTCGTGTTGTGGAGAGATGAGACATACCTATATTCCATGGGGTGCTTCCCTTTTATAGATGGGGTATGATATTTTTTTGATGGCCTTCCTTGTTTGGGTTGGGCCCATTATTAGGACTTGCTTGGGTTACCCCAAATAAGCTAGTATTTTTTAGGCCGCCACAATTGCGTCAAAACTTTCATTGTCTTCGATAGAAGGAATAAGAGTTTTTATTGCCGAGTTATACTGTTCAAATAGATGTTAGGCCTCTTGATAAAGAATACATTTCATAAATAAATAAATGAATGATTGTATAGATGCATGTATGTATAAATGTATGTATAAATATATGTATGTCTTGGAAATTAGGGTTGTGCTCCGAATTCGGAGGCTTTTGTTGATGGCTCTTCGTGCTGAGCACGAAGATTGCTCCGTATTTAGAGTCTTTTGTTGATGGTGCTCCGTGTTGAGAATGATGATTGCTCCGTATTCGGAGGCCTTTGTTGATAGCGTTTCATGCCGAGCATGAAGATTGCTCCATATTTGAAGTCTTTTGTTGATTGTAATTGGCGATCAATTTCAAACATTGCTAGGATTTTCAATAGTATATATCGTGTCATTGATTATCTGTACCAAATGTGTAGACCTGTTAATCACAAAAAAGTATTAAACTAAAAAGCTTACTCCAATGGTAGAGCATTAAAAAATAGCATTATTGCTCTGTTGTAAAGAATTACCGAGTGGAGCAGATTGAAGTAGATTGTTAAGTTGGTTTCTTTCCCTTGAGCTAGTATGAGTTGTGGTTGTATCAAGTCAGAGTAAAGTGGTCATGCATTGTATACAACATATATTTGTCCCATTGCTTTCGAATGAAATTTGTTATTCAGAAGGATTTCAAAATGGATTTTGGCCAAAAGTGCTGAAGAGTAAGTTGAGAACAAATTGTTAAAGCAGATTCCTTGCCCCATGGGTTTCGAATGAAATTTGTTATTCAGAAGGAATTCGTAATGGATTCTTGTTAAAATTGCTGAGGATTGGTCTACCATGTTTTTGGGCAAGTTCGGCTTTGGTGACGAATGATTCTGGCTGTTACATAGTTGAGAAGTTGCCAAATATTGTCTGGTTGTTGAATTCAACATTGATCAAACTCTAAGCTTGGCGACAAAAATTTTATCTGAACTGCGATGGATATGTGGCACTTCATATAAAATCTAAAAATTTTTGGTATGGAATTTGGAAAATCAGACCATACAGATGTGTTCATAAGGCTCCAAATAGTTGGAAACTATTAGATCGTTGTAATTGGACTCCTTATGGCGTAATTTTAGCCAAAATAGATCTGATGGCTCAGATCGGGTGAGAATTTTGCTCCATGAAACACTGGATAATTTTTCTTATATATGTTAAGTTTGACAACTCGGCTCGACTTGATGGCTTGTGGCTTGGCTCTGTGGTGGCTCGGCTCGGTCTGGTGGCTTTAGCAAAAAAAAAAAAAAAGCATAACTAAAGTTGTTGTCAGCGAGACTTGAACCCTCGCCCTTGTGATTGGTATGGACATAGTTAATTTTTGGCTCCTGGTTAATGGGTATGGACTTTTCAAGTTGACAGAAACCCTCTAGTATATTCAGATGTTGATTTATGTACCTCTGAATTCTTGACAAGTTTGAAGCCAAGATGCTAGTTCTATGTTGAGACAGTAGTGTCGAGCAATGTTGTTGTATTTTCGAGAATTAATTCATGAGATTTTTGCCGAAGAGGTGGATGAATTAATAATTGTATTTTTTGTTCTGAGAATGTCCAAGGCTGTGGAGCATGTTGCCGAGACGTGACTCAAAAAAAGAGGACTAAATTTGTCCTCGACATCGTGGTTGTAGCCAACATGATTAAAGATATATACTGGCATCGTTCATGTCAATTATCATTACTGATGAGCTTAATGATGGAGTTGTGGTGCCGAGCGTCAAAAGACAGTCAAGCGGCTACACATTCAAGTTGGTAGCTACTCGGTATTACTGTGGCATTGCCAATTGACATGTGTTGCCAAATGACCTATGTTGCCAAGTAATGTTGCCGAGTAATAATGGTGCTGAATTGTGGAGTCATCGTTGGGCTTTATTGATGTAACTTTGTTCTTTGGTGTTGTCATACCGCATCGTATATAATGTTAGTGGTGTCACCACCGAGTGAGATTTTGAGGCTTGTTTTCAAACTGGAGGACGTCTAAGGAGATTCGAAGTTCCCGAATTGTCCAAGATAATGGCAATAAGCATAGATAGCACAGCGTTTTGGAAAGCACTTCTCTAGAAACTCTTTGATTTCTTGGCTTGTCAAAACCTCTCAGTCGAAATATCTTCTTACTTTGACTTGCTAAAACTCTTGGTCGACAAGTCAGCAACTTCTTTTGCTTGCCAAACACTTCTCCGGTGATTATTTTCGATCTTTACCATTACTTCGGTGGAGCCTCACTTTGGTGAAGTTGAGTTAGCGAGGTTCGTGTTGGTTCAAATTATTTTCTTGGCAGAAATTGTGCACACTCGTCGAAAGTTCGTGAGTCATTTTTTATCTTAAGATGAGTTGTTGAAGTATCTTGTAAAAAGAGAGCATTGAAACCCATTTGTGGATCTCAAGAGCACATGTTATCATTTGAACTCTTCTCCTCAAGATCTGTAACTGTCATAAGTTTCTAGCACCAATACATGCAATGTATAATATATAAATAAACTCTTAGAATGCCGATTTCCGAGTTAGTTTTATTATTTCAATTTGTTGAATCTCAATTTTTTGGGGAGAAAATAATTAGTTAGTGACCAACATGTTCTTTGAAAGCTATCCCTAGCAAATCCAACTAAAGGTATTTCAATGGGGTTTACATATATGTCTCGACTACTCTTCTAGAGAGAATGTCGAGATAGATATTAAACAAATGTTTGGACCAAATCTATGAGCATAAACATATACATATATATATATATATATATATCTGCATATAGATAGCAAGATTGAACTTCAAAGATAAATTTGAACAAAGAGGAAAAAGACAAGATCAACCGTGGGTTATGTTTTTAGTAACGTGTAACAATGATCTGAGCATCTTGAGGGTGGTGTTTGTTATCTCCTTCGTCGAATGTTTTTAGACAATTTCCACAGACGGCGCCAATTGTGAGACCTAAAAAATTTTCTCACTTAGATTGTTGAAAAGATCTAACGAAAAGATGAGCTTTGCCTCATAGATTTGCGAAAATAAACATGATCAGCGCCACCCAACCAGGGACACTCTGATGATAAAGTTAAACTCTTGAATCAAAGGAGAGAAGATGAAGAATTGAAGAGTATCTGTGTCGTGTTGCATAGAGATGAGACATACCTATATTCCATGGAGTGCCTCCTTTTTATAGATGGGGGTGTGATATTTGTTTGATGGGTTTCCTTGTTTGCTTTGGGTCGATTGTTAGGACTTGTTTGGGTTACCCCCACTAAGCTGGTATTTTTTAGGCCACCACAGATTCTATTACTAGTGCATAAAAACATTCAATAATACTGGGAGTTTTAGGAAACACATTATATGGGAAAACAATTTGCAAAAAATTAATTTTTAACTAAAAAAAACACTAAATTTGTATCACAGAACCTGAAACTGTAAACAAATTGAATTTTTGTCTTAAAATTGTAGAAAAATATTTTCGAAAAAATTAATTTAATGCAAATAAATAATTAAAATAAAATAAATTTCATACTGAAATTCTATAAAACTTGATACAGATTGTGGCCGAGCCAGTGTTTGAACATTGTGTATGTAAGACAGAAATTCACCCTCACCTCTAATACTTATGATTGATGGGTGTCCTGCCTCCAAGATACAACGATCACTACACAGAAATTACACAATTTTATATGTATACAGCGAACCAATTTGTGTTATGTACTCTCTCTTCTATACTTGACTATGACATATGTATGAATCCTAAAATTCTATTTCTTATTCATGAATGCAATGGGATGAGATAGTATTTATAAAAGTGGTTGAAACCATTCTAAAGGGTCATAACTCTTGAATCAAACCTTTTCCTTTAAAGAGGCACCATAAAAAGTTGCATCATTCCATTTGAATGGAGTCAATTCCTATTTACTTCTAAAAATTTCCAATATATAGAGAAGAAGCAACTGAAAGAAACTTGGAGGAGAAAGTAATAAAACAAAATAAAATAAACAATTGAATGAAAAGAAGGGACAAAGAATGGGCATGGTT